GCATCCACCTCGACAGAATATCCTCTTCACATGCGCCTTGATCACCGTACCAAGTACAAACGTCACATCCAACCACCGCATTTAATGCGGCCACATGCGAGTGCCAGTGCCACCCCGGTCGAGGTGACCCCTCGACCACCAGAAAACTGACACGTGTCCTTATCTAGCATTTATTACCACTATAAATAGCACCCCTTTCCCCCATTGTAAACCACGCTTAATACATATCGAATATACACTCTCTCTCTCTTACTTGTTTGCTCTGACTTCTCTCTAGTTATTCTCCGCAATAACCCCTCGGATAAGCTACCCCCTAGGTACACTATCCATCAGTTCTGTTTCTGGAAATGTATTAAAAAATATCACAGCATACTTCCTCGAGTTCATAACGAGTGCCATTGTGAAAGGAAATGTTCGTTTCACAATGTGTGTTGTTTTATAAAACCAAGAAAATAGGTTTTGATGTAATTTTCGCATTTTTACCCTTCTCCAAGACCCCTTTGCAAAACTTTATTGGATAATGAAGAGTGAAGTTATTAGTTTTTCCAAGTAGCAACTAGCAACTTCTTAATACACAAGATTTCTTCCAAATGTTACTTGCACTGAACTGGAGGGATTAGTATTTAATTATTTATACATCTCTTTTTGAACCAACCAACTTATATGAGCGTTTGGTATTCATATTGCTCCAGGTTCAAGGGCATCTTTGAAGAGGTATATCAGGAGAAATGGAAGGCAAAGTTCGAGGAACATCACATGCTACAGTATAAAATAATATTCTCACTAGTATCATGTATTGATGTTCTGAATGATATGGCTGCTGGCATTAGGTATGAGCATCAGTTGATAGATGACATGGTAGCATATGCAGTAAAAGGTGATGGTGGCTATGTATCGGCCTACAAAAATTATGATGGAGATGTGCAAAGTGATTTACTTGCACAAGGTGAAGTATTCCGATATGTGAATAGGATCAGAGTAATGCATTACCTATCAAACTATGACATACAAGCTTAAGTTTTTTTATCCATTACTGAATGCATGTTTTTGTTCTCTGGGTCTTATGACTTCTGTTTTGGTTAGTCATATCTCACTATTTTTGTCATTTTCATCGTCATGGTATATATATATATATATATATATATATATATATCTAGTTTATGACTTTGGTTTTTGAAAAGGCTGTCTTGGGTCTTATGACTTCTGTTTTTCAAAAATAGGCTTGCCAATGGTGAATTTATTGGAACTTTTCTGGAATTACCATTTGAAATAAGAAGACTAAAAGCATCTATATTGGCTGTTCTCTGCAGTTGTCCTCTGATGGCAAGACTTTAGAATCTGAAGCGGCTCATGGAACTGTGACTAGTCACTTTAGGCTGCATCAGAAAGGAAAAGAAACCAGATTTGCAGGAAACAACAAAAAACAGAAGTTGTACATTTACAATTGTTCCCACAACTTTCTTGAACTTAAATGCTCGTATGTTTGCGAGAGATAAGATCATAATCCTCGATCTCAAGGCCCAAAATCCAGATTTTTAAGTTCAAGAAATCCAGATTTTTATGTGTGTATTGTTTTTATATTTGTATAGCTATAATATTGACTTAATGCGTTTTTCATTTGTAGTGTCGAATGCAAAGTGGAAGTTATGAATGTGGTTACTATGTTATGAAACATATGAGTACTATTATCTCTACTAATGTTTTTTATTCATGGATAGCGGTAATTATTACTTATGTTTCATTATTTTATTTTTTTGTATTTCTTTTTATTTTATTTTATACTAATATAATGTTTTTCATCTTGTATATGTATTCAATGTTCAAGATCCATTTAAAGAAGAAGATATCAATGAGATTCGAGAAGATTGGGCAGCATTTTTCTGTGAAGCTACTAGCATTTAGTATTTATTTAATTAGATTTAGATGATACTATTTTGGCACGTTTGAAAGTGATATGCAATATTTTGTTGGTGTATCAACGATAATTTGAAACTATACTATGGTTAATATGCAATATTTTAATTTGATATATGGTTTGTGAGTGGTGTTGTTTATATATTGATATAGTAGTGAATGAACATTATAAAATTTTCATGCTGGGGTACAATAAATTGATATTGGGGTATATGAGGGTATCAGTTTGCATTATAATTAAAAAACGTTCCATATGGGGTATAATGAACTGATATTGATTACTTTTTAACCCATATAAAAAGGATTTTATATGGGGTATTACTGGACTGACATGGAAAACATTCGATAACGGTTAAATTCGTAACCGTTATAAAAAACATTCTATAAGGGGTACGAATACCCGACACGAAAAGAACCCGACTTTCTATATCGCTGGCTACTATGTCGTTACGGGAACCGACATAAAAAGTGTTTTTTAATCCTTATAGAAAGTGTTTTCTACACTAGTGTATATGGGCATCACATCACCCATACAAGCAAAGCTCAGACCTATTTGGTCATCACAGCACCCATACAAGCAAAGCTCAGACGTATATGATCATCACAACACCGATACAAGCAAAGCTCAGACCTATATATGGTCATCACAACACCCTTACAAGTAAAGCTCAAACATATTTGTTCAACACAGCCCTCATACAAGCATTGATCAGACCTATATGGTGAACACAGCACCCATACAAGCATTGGTCAGGCCTATATGGTCATCACAACACCCATACAAGTAAAGCTCAGACCTATTTGGTCATCATAGCCCTCATACAAGCATTGATCAGACCTATATGGTCAACATAGCACCCATACAAGCATTGGTTAGCCCTATATGTTCATCACAACACCCATACAAGTAAAGCTGAGACATATTTGGTCATCACCGCACACAAACATTCCATAACCAGTCCACACATTTATCATTACCAATCAAACATCACACTTTCTTTAAGCAGCCAACATTTTGTTCTTTACAAACAATTTCAGAAAAAAGAAGCACCATATTTTTATCATTGCTTCCCCAAAACAAACACTGCACTACACACACAACGTATATGTAAGCCAAGGCAGACAAGCAAGTGCACAACAATAGCCATACATGATGTCACACACAGACAAACAAGATAGAGGAGTCAAACATAGGAAAAGAGATTAAGAGAGTAACTCTCCTGAGTGGGAAAGAAGTCATACATCCATGTCCCACATCCTAGAGTCCCAACCGGGTAGGATGAGCTTTAGGAAGGCTTCTAGACGAGGACTTTTGCGTATTGGGTGCATTTCAACCTCTTTTCACCTTTTCTCCTTAGCCTCTTCATTGTCCAAAACCAGAACCTGCTTGGCCTGGTGAACTTCCTCCTCCTCTTCACTGTCCGGAACCACTAGCTCCATCAGACCTTCATCATCGTCCCCATGCGATGCCTCTTCGGTGTCCAGAACCACAAGGTCCACCGAAGTTTTTCCATGGTCCACATCGAGGTCATCATCTGGCTCGACTTCACTATCCGACACCATCAGGACGCCCATGTGCAAGCATAGTATGGACCTTGCTCTTCACATAGGGTTTCAGAGCTTGATTCTAGATCCATGGAGGTCGAATGTTAGGTTTACGGATTTGAATCAAGAACACACGATTAGATCAACAAAATAAGCTAGGGTTGTTGTGGATTTTGGTTCAGAGAAGGAGGGGAGGCGATGCATCGGAAACAGAGGGATGAGAGGAGGCGGTGCATCGCAACTGTGAGAGACAAGGAGCTGAGAGAGGGGGTGAGATAATGCGAGAGAGAGAATGGAACGAGAAAAGTGGGGTAGAGTGTAAGTGGGAAAGAGAAAAGTGAGGAGGGTAAATATTTTAAGGGGTAAGATAGGTTTTTCAGTAGTAGGAAGTTTCCTTATTTAGTAAGTGAGAAGTATTTTTGGGAACAACCTAAAATGGAAAGTGAGAAGAATTTTTGGGAACGGAGAGAGTATTATATTGTAGCAATTTCTAGTGTTAATTAAAACTATATATATTTATATGGAAGTAAGACAAATTTCTTGTACATGCACATGAATAAATGTGTACAAACAATAAACTAAATGATTTATGTTCCTTTTTAAAAGAAAAGTTACATATTACAATTAGGTCCAATAATTGGATTCTCCCTTACTATCTCTAAAACTAGTTAAGAAATAGGGACAATTCTCGAAATAGAAGTAAAAAATGCAAAGTTCATAATATTTTTATTTCTATTTAGGATAATTTTATTAAAAATATAATGAGATACATCAAGCAAGATTGAACACCAACCACACCAATTTAAAATTGCAAAATTAAGCAATTCAAGTGAGATTAAAAACAATGAAAATGCTAAGTGTACATATGTTTGTGTACACCATATAAAAGCCCCCCAAAATATCTCATTTCCTTCTCCCCCTTCTCTCTCTATTCTCTTTTCCTCTCTCCCTTCTCTCTTTCCTCCATTCGAATATCTCAAAAAAATGAGAGACCATCTTCTCTTCTTCATCTTCCTCATCTTTTCTTCCTCTTTTTCTCTACCTTTTTATATCAATTTTTTATAATATTTGCACAAAATCAGCTTATTCATTTTATTCCATCTATTTTTCTTAATTTTTTATTTTTTTCAAATTACATGTAAATTTATCACACATACAACTACATCATTCATTTGGATATATATAGACAATTAATTTTTTTTGTTCACCCAGACAATTGAAATTGATCCGACCGACAACTAAAATTGATCACACAGACAACTATTGTCTGTGAGACGCACAACTATTGTCTGTGTGGTAAATATTGTTTGTGCACACAGACAAATAATTGTCTGTGAAAATATTATCTGTGCACACAGGCACTGCAGATATATTGATTGATTTGCAAGCTGGTGTCAGTGTCAGACGGCTGTCAATCTACTTTTTACCAAAAAGTAAATGTCTGTGGACACGGATAACTCTTGTCTGTGTCCATAGACAATTTCGTACCAATTGTTTGTGACCGACATTTTGTGTACAAGTTGTGTATCCCAAGCATGGCTGTAAAAACAATGATTCGTACTCATCAAATCGCAAATAAACAAATAGTAGCCCGTAATATAGATGACTCTTAATTAATAGGCAAATTCTCCACTACGTACACTCCACTATGTCTCTTTCAACATCAAGGAACTGATGCCCAAAGGGGTCTTTCCATTTCTTGAAATTGTTTGAAAATATCACTAATGTAGAAAGGGATACACACATTAAGAGAATAAGTTCCCCATAGTTTCTTGTACGAAACTAAAACCATAATATATTATTGTTATAGAAGCTAAGCACGGTTATTTGAGAAATGGATATCATGATGACGTGCGATGGCTGAAGAAGAAATCTACTCGTTATCAAGTGCAAATTCTTCAATAACGTTCATCTTGTTGAGTGGATTCATGGTGTGGATCTCGGCACAAGAGCATTTGCTAGGAAGCACGACAGACCCCATAGACGCCACACCTAGATCATAGGATTGGTGTAGGGATGATAAAGGCGTTTTCCGTGCAATGATCACGGAGTTGATAACGTCATCCGTCGGATGGTACACCGTAAGAACCTCGAATCCTCGGAGATCACGAGGATCCACTATCGGGTACAGAAAACCGCGTGCCCCATGTGCACTCCTGATCATAAGGAGTGCACCTGGAGCCATGTACTTAGCCAAATGGTCAACGACCCGACCTTTCTCGACCTTGTCCATTCCGACTAGGGCAGCGAGGAACACGACATCGTAGTCCTTCAACTCGCACGTGACATCCATAATGTCCGCGGTGTGGAACGCCATGCGCTTGGAGAGGTCGGGGTCGGACCCCACCAACCGCGACGCCAACGAGTTGGCCACGGGGTCAATGTCATAGTTGTGAAAACCCGTGGTGGGGAGGTGGCACATGGCCAAGACAATAGACGTGAGCGGCAAGGGTCCGGACCCGATGAAAGCGATGCGTTCAGGGATACGAGCGCCATCGCCGTGCCTCGTGAGGATACCGAACTCGAGCTCACTAAGCTTGAGGTAATTGTTGAAGTAGGGGAAGAGGGGAAGGTTTTGGAGAGGGTTTGGGAGGGAACCAAGAAGGGCAGAGTAATGAGATTCAAGAAGTCCCTCGGCTTCACCGCAAAGCTTGATGAGTTTAGACCTCTTTTCTTGGACTTTAGAGCACAGTTTGGAGACATCTACAGGGTTTGGTGGGATGCATGTAAGGACAAGCTGTGTGAACAAAATGTCGACATCTTTAGAAGGTTTGAGGTTCTCCAGCCTCGAAATCTCGTCATAAAGATTGCATATTTTCTGTACAACTGGGTTGTTTTGGCAAACCATGTTGACACTATCAAATGGTGGAAAAAATAATGCAAGTTTTGGGATGGCACAGGTTCAATTTATGTGTCTTCATGATATACATATATATATATGACGAGGCCACGAAAAAAGCTCCATATATTGATGTTCATGGACCCATTGGGAAGTAGCTATTAGTGTATGATTGGAGGGAATTGGGTAGTACTCATGTACTACATACATAGCCGTATGAGAAATTAGAATATATATGGTACGGTACTCTCTATTTTTATGATTGTACTAATCTTAAGAGTAAAAAGTCTAATTAAACTCTTCTGTTTGAAATCCATAGAAGTCATTCATATAAAAGTCATTCATTTTAAAATAGACGGATTAAAAATCAATGGATTTAAAAGTACACGGATTAAAAGTCCATGTATTTAAAAGTCCATGAACTTTTTTAGAAATCCACGGATTAAAAAATATCCACCACAATCCACGTACAATACACCTCCTAAGTACGTTTATTTTGGAAAAAATAAACGTACACTCTATCTCAAGATATTGATACATAGAGTTTTCTAATTGTTCTATATATAGTCTCAAAGAATTCAAACCAATTAACATTTCTAATGGTGTATGTATGTTTCTTTTTTTTTATACATTCAATTGTTTGGATCGAATCACCACCCCTATAATTGATTCATCCCCGGATTGTACAGTTCTTTAGCCGTCGAAAATATAATTGGGTGGTTAATCCTCGATAAAATAAATTTACTATCAGAAAATCACTTTAGCCTTATATCCATAACAAATAGTAAATTATATTTGGACAATAAAGTATATAAAATAAAGGTGAAAATCACTTTATTATTATTTAAGTTACATATTTGGGCAAAAGTAACAACACGAGTACAAATAAAAAGAAAAAACATTACTTAAAAATGTTCCTCGTAGAACAATGTGAAGCAAATCATCAATAATTGTTTCATAGGCAACCTTCTTTACACTAATAAACATGACAAACAATAAAATTGTCACATATAACAACACTAAATTTTCTTTTGAAAGGATTTGAAAAGAAATATTACCACATATTGAATTCATAAGTTGAGAATGATTTATTGACCGCTGATGAGAGTCTAAAGTTTGAAGTCTCGAAAGAATGAAGGTTTTCAAAGAGACAAAAAGTTTGGATGTCAAGAGGACTCACGCAAGAAGATTGCAAATTTGACGTCTTCTAAAACAACTATTAAAATCTCATATAGTCATATATAGCTTATTGAAATTTGGAAACAAATGAATAATTGGGGTGAGATTTAAGAGAAACGGGCTCTAAAATAATTATATAAATTTTTTATGTTATAATTAAAGTGAATAAAAAACCTCAAAAGCTAAAAAGATGTGAGGACCAGATAAATGTATCTTTTATTTATGCACCAACAATTGTATTGCTTTTAAAACATACAACTGATCCTGCTAAAAATTAATGTATTTATTCCTTTTTAAACTAGGCTCTAGTTGCATTGAAGTATATCTCAGAAGGTGGTGTGGGAAGATGGAGAGATTCATTTCAAGAAACCGTGCTTAAAGCGAAAAGGATGAGGGTGCATTTCAGCCATGTTTTGAGAGAAGGCAATTGTGCTGCACATTTTTTGGTTGATCTATGTCCGGCCCAACTTGTGTTAATTCCTCGGGTCTCTGATTTACCGAATCAGGCTCGTACGGCTTATTATTCGGATCTGTTTGGAATTCCTACTTTAGATATTTATCTTAAGATTTTACATTGGGTTAGGTCTAGCCCCCCAATGTTTTTTATGTCTACTAATTCTTGGTTTTTGTTTGGAGGAATGCCTCCTGCGGGGGGTTTTGGTCTAGTCCCCCTCTTTTTTGTATTATTTCTTTTATCATTAATAAAACAGGTAAATGTTCCCTGACATTTACCCCACTGATTTTGATGGTTTACCTACTGGGTTAAAAAATTCTTTTTTAAACTTGGCTCTGTTTAAGACTCTTTATTTATGTTTTAAATTTTTCAAATTTTCAACAAAATTAATCATTAGGCTTAATTAACAAAATTACTTTTCAGCAATTTTTTTGATAAAAAAAAGAAGCGTACTCAAACTATATATAAAGAAAAAATATTGGGCCTATTTTTTCTTCTATTTTTTCGAGCCTAGGACGATCGCCCCTCTTGTCCAGCCCCCCGCCCTCGAAACCGGCCCAGTTTACTTCCTCAAAACTGTATTCTGTAAAATTGAGAAATATGCACTTTTCATATTTTCTATATATTTTAAGCTACCGTTAACAAGAATCAATTACATTTTTTGTGCTACTTTTGAATAATGTGTGACCAAGACAAAATACCCACTGTCGTGAAATGCATTTTGTTCCCTTTTCGAACTTTTCTTCCTAAAAGCAAAACTAGCGTAGCTACGGGACATAGATGAGCTCATTGCACTGTATTTTTATTATAGATTTTATTTGTTATTTACCTTTGGGGTATTATAGATTTTATTTATTTGCCCCCCACTAAGTTCCTTGTCAATTTAACAGTATTGGCTGCCTCTTAACCATAATCACTTTTACTAGTTTGTTCTTTTCACTTGATTTATTGGCCTGATTCTATTATTTTCTTCAACTTTGGTTTTCAAACGCAAAATTGTTGTTCGCATTTACGTCTAAAAAGTTGATGTGGCTAGCTAATACTCATCCGGTCCTAAATAAACTTCACACTTTGACTTCACACAAATTAAGGAAATAAATTTGACTTTGCTGTAGAGTACACTGTTGTGACACTCTTTGCACTGTTTGGCACTGTTTGACACTGTTTTGGTGTAGATAATTTGACAAATAAGGAAGGTAGAAGAAGTGTGAAGTTTATTTTGGACCTATCCAAAAAGAAAAGTGTGAAGTTTATTTAGGACCGGAGGGAGTAGTTATTTTCACTATCGACCGTGACAATAAAATTTGCTTTTTAATAATATACCAAACAATGAAAAGAAAGTTATGGTAGACAGTGGCGGACCTAGAAAGTCGGAGTCACGGGGTCCCTAACCTTTTATATCTATAATCTCTAATTAATATAAAACTAAAGTCGTTTAGAAAATGAAGTGACATAAATAATCGTTCATTTGGAAAATTAATAACAGTTCGCTTAGAAAAATAATATTTATGTCACAGATAGAAAAATAATATCCTATAATTATAGTATGTTTATTCAAATAATTTTCTAAACGAACAGTAATTTATGACACCTTAAAATAATAAATAGGGAAAATAACTTTAAATAATACAAAATATCTTCGATGAACCAATAATAATACATACTTTAGAAATAGAGTCCCTTTTTTAAAATGGAGTGTAGAACAAAAATAAAATGGAGTCACTTTTTTAAAAGAAAATCACTAATTTAAGACATTAAGACTAATATGGAACCAATAAATAATATTCAGAAATACGCTTACTAACTTTATATTTTGTTACTAGTTTTTTATGAATTAAATGACTAATGTTTTAGTAAAGAATTGCTATGTATTAGTGTTAGTACTATTTATGTTATTACTCCTTGCCAAAAAAAGTTGTTTTCCCTGATAAATAGAGAGAAAACAAAAAATGATGCCTAAGAGAAACAAACCTTGCACCTCCGTGAGGTAGATACTTTTAAATTCAAGCGCGCTTCCATTGCTCCAATGTCAACTTCATGTTCTTAATTACCTTTTGCCTTACATATACATTGTATTATTAATTTATACTCCATCCGTCCCTTAAAACTTTGGCATCTTTCCTTTTTTGGACGTTCCAAAAAACTTTTCCACTTTCCCTTTTAATCAATTATTTTGTGGTTTCTGTTATTTCTCTCTCCTCTGCACAAACCACAATCACACAGTTTTTACTTTATTATTCCCCGTACCGATCAATTTTGGTAAAGTTTTAAGGGACGGAGGTAGTATAAAATACATATAATATATATAGGTATTTTTTTGAAAGTTCATGGAGTCTCGGGACCCCTAAGGACCGTCCGCAGGTGATGGTATACACAAAATATCAATCAACCATAGATTATTTGCGAATTGCGATAAGTTATTTGATGCTTTCATTTAATTACTATAGTACGTAGTATCTCTGCCCCAAATGATAGTCTCAGTTTACTATTCACTAGACAACCTAATGCACGCTAATTTTATTAACTAATTTTATGTACCAAAATTAATCATATTCATAATAAAATGTTGCCATCCAATTCATGAACTTTTATTATATACGGAGTAGTTTTTAAATACATATTCCGTATAACTTTTTAGTTTTATATTTGTGAGAAGTTAACTTTTCATTGATCAAATCCGCACGGGTAGCTCAGTTGGTCGAACGGTGAGATTTGGAATAATGGACCAAGGTTCGAATCCCGCAGCGACCGGGTGGAGGTCACAGAACCTGAAATAAGGCTGGGCCTCTGGTGCGCACGGGTGTATGGGCCTACTGTCATTCTGCTGACTGAGTCACCGTGACTAACCTTCTCACCATCCTGTCGGGTCGGGGTGGGGGGCTCCTGGGGTGGGAGATTCCACCTTCCTTGGATCAATAGAAATGGAGGATATTTTTAAAAGGGTTACTGTATATACTCGGTACTTTACAACCATTATACTCGGTACTTTTCAAAAAAATAGAAAACAAAAGATGTAAGACATTGAGAAATTGGTGTCATAGTGACTTCATAGTGTTTTAAACGGTAAACATTATTGGTTCAATTGGTGTCATTGAGATCATCATTGCATTCATTCAACCGCTAGCCTTTACGGAGCATTCTACAAGACCTTTTCCAGTGGTTGGGAATCCAAATTTATATTAAAATAGTGTTTCGATTTCTCCCTCTATTTTTACACTCCTTCACTCCCCTTTCCACTTTTACTCCCTCCTCCCCCCCTCCCTTTTAATCCCCCGCTACACACAAATAAGAGTAGGGATGACAACGGATCGGTTTGGGATCGGGTATACCATTACTCGTACCCGCCCCGTTTGATAGTATTTTTTCCCTGAAAATTGCTCCGTTACTCGTTGAGTATTTTTTATCCGTGGGTAACGATTTTCCTCGCGGGTAACGGTTTCCCCGCTGGTAACTATTTTATTAAAAGATATTTTTTTTCTTCAAAATTAGTATAAATTCTAAAAAGA